TGATCATCGGGTAATAATTAAATAAAAGTCACATTTTTCATTAAACCGCAAATATTTTTAATCCCGGCGAAATCACAAGTAGATGAAGAGGTCAATTCTGACCGTTACGTAGATGGCGACTGTAAATACATCTGATATATATATATATATATATATATATATATATATATATATATATATATATATATATATATATATATATATCGGGAAATATATACAACGTAAATATACAATGGAAGGGGATGTTAGCTAGAATGCCAATGTCTCAAGAATGGATGGACCGATTTTGACAAATTTTGTCAATTCAGAATGCACTCGTGGCATAAGAGAATAAAATCTAAAAAAATTGCATGAAAATGTGTCAATAATGGTGTTATTATAGATTTTGTACATTTTTTTATTTTTTTTTTTTTTTTCATATTTTTTATCGCATGCGATTTTTTTAATTTGAGTCATAATATTGAAGTGTACATTTTGTAAAATTTTTTCAACTTACTACACGGGTCGGGGTTATTATATACAGATTGCAATTATGGTCCGATCTTCACGAAAATTTTCACAAGGGTAGGGTTAGACTCAGAAGAGCTATATTTTTCAAAGATGACCGCAATATAATTAAGGTTTAAAATGGACCAACCACTAAAAATGTTCCTGATTTTGCAGCCGTTATAAGATCGCAAATAGAAACCAAAGGACATGAAATCTCGCATGTAGTTAGAGTTTAGGACTGTGCTCCATGACAAAAAATTTCCAAAAGCGAAATCTTCCAAAATGGACTTGGACATATGGGTGCTTCTAACATATTGTAGTGTTGTAGGGTATCACATGGTCGGCCCCGCACGACTATAGCCTTTGCTTACTTGTTTTTCCATAGGTTGTAGTAACCATTAAGATCTTTCAATACAACATTTGAAACAATTCCGATGAATAATGTTTTTGAAATCATCAAAATACCTAATATCGGGAGGTACCGTTATATGGGGGCTATACGAAAACGCGATCCGACATGGCCCATTTACAAACTTAACCTGCCTACAGCTGAACTATGAATGCATGCAAAATTGTACCTTTTTTTATTTATTGTGGGGTCTATTTTAAATATTTCGAGGAGTTACAAACAGAATGACAAAGTTAATATACCCTCCATAGAGAGGAACTTTAAATACGATATTTGATACAATTCCGGTGGTAAAGGCTATAGTCGTGCGGGCCGACCATGTGATACCCTACAACACTACAATTAGTTCGAAGTCCCTTCATGTCCAAATCCATTTTGGAAGATTTCGTTTTTGAAATGATGTTAAAAAATAAAAAATTACTAATTTTGTAGTCGCTCTATAGACCACAATTGAAAACTAATCGACACGGAATTACGCATCAGAAGACAGTTAAGCCCCTGTCCATAACTCTCTTCTGATGCGTAATTCCGTGTCGATTAGTTTTCAATTGTGGTCTATAGAGCGACTACAAAATTAGAACATTTTTAATTTTTTTTAATTGAATTGAACCCCTATATGTACATCTTAAGAACAATAGGCTTTAAATATGACATTAACCCTACCGACATGCAAAATTTCGTGAGGATCGGACTATAATTGCGACATGCATATAATACCCTCAAAACGTAGTGTTGCGGGGTGTAAAAATTTAAAAAAATTGTAAGACAAATTGAACCAGTAAAGAAAATCTTCAAGTCGGGCGGGGCCGACTTTATGATACCCTACACCACTTTGCTAATTAAGTAGAGCTCCACATAACAATTAAAAGTTTTTATGGGAGAATTCGATCATACTCGCTATGATTATAATTATAATTTAAAGTTCAAAGGACTAAATATGAAATCGGATAAAGATATATATGGGAGCTATATCCAAATCTGAACCGATCTCGATAAAATTTGGCAAATATATTTTCTGAGCTGTATTTGATATATTTCCCTGAATATCGTTGTTACGGAGTGCATATTACGGTTGTGGGTAAAAAATATAACAAATCGGATGAATAATATATATGGAAGCTATAGCTATATCTGAACCGATCTTCACCAAATTTGACATACTAGCTTCTAGACTCAATTCGGTCGTAAGTGCCAAATTCCATCCCATTTGGACAAATATTAGACGTTTGGTGCACAATAAAAGGTAAATCGGACGAAGTTATATATGGGAGCTATATCCAAATCTGAACCGATCTCGATAAAATTTAGCAAAGGTATTTCTGAGCTGCATTTGATATATTTCCCCAAATATTGTTGTTACAGAGTGCATATTACGGCGGCGGTGGACAAAAATAACAAATCGGATGAAAAATATATATGGGAGCTATAGCTATATCTGAACCGATTTCGATCAAATTTGGCACACATATTTTCAGGCCTAATTTGGGTGTATATGCAAAATTCCATACTATTCGGGCTGATATTACACGTTTGGTGCACACTAAAAGGCAAATCGGACGAAGATATATATGGGAGCTATATCTAAATTTTGACCGATTATCTCCAATTTCAATAGGGTTCGTCCTTGGGCCAAACAAAAGATTTTTGCAAAATTTCATCTGGATCGGGCAATAAATGCGACCTGTACTTTGTTTACAAAAATACATGGACAGACGGACGGACGGACAGACGGACGGACAGACAGACGGACGGACGGACAGACGGACGGACAGACAGACGGACGGACGGACATGCATAAATCGACTCAGAATGTGATTCTATGCATATCTTCAAAAGGAACTATGGGTCTATCTCGTTTCCTTCTGCCTGTTACAAACAAATGCACAAAGACATAATACCCTGACCACCTTGTGGTGTAGGGTATAAAAATCGAATGCGATAAAAAATATGACAAAAATTGAAAAAATGGAACAAAAGATATTCACATTTTTACTGCTATATATTTCCGCGAATTTCTTAGATTTTATCAGTTTCTGGCAAGAGACCATTCCGAATTGATAGGAATTGTGAAAATCGGTCCAGCGGTTTTTGACTTATAAGCTGAATAAAAAAAGATATATTATTTTACATATATATTGTACCTATTTTGCCGATTTTTTTGGCTATCAGCTAATGGTCAGAAGTGACCTTTTAACATATTTGTGATTTGGCTGGGATTAAAAATATTCGCGGTTTAATGGAACTTTCTTATTTCCTACATAAAAGTTAGGACCTATTTTACCCGCTAAAATTGGTAGGCTTCTGCCCAGTTCTAAACTCTAACTCCATTTAAATTTCCGCGTGTATTGGTTCATAATTGTGGCTTATGGAGCAACTGCAAAATCATGAATCATGAATTTTTGGTCCATTTCAACCCCTAAATATTGTGCAATCATCTCCTAAAACAATAGGGTTCTATTCTGACCATAACCCCACCTCCATTTTGAATTTTGTGAGGATAGGGTCATAATTGCGACCTGTAGTTTGATTCCAAATTAACAAGGACAGACGGACAGACGGACGGACGGACATACATAGCTAGATCGACTCAGCACGGCGAGATAGGAAGATCCATATATACTTTCCTATGTGGGAATCCAATATTTCGTCATGTTACATAATTTTTGGCCCAATCAAGCTTATAATACTCCCAACACATAGTGTTGTGGGGTATAAAAAATATAAAAAAACATTTCCGATAAAATGTGCGACACAAATCATCAAAATACGGAATAAATGGGGATCGATATATAATGCCGATCAAGAATATGTATACTTTGTGGGGTCTTAAATTTATATTTCGAGGTGTTACTAACGGAATAAAGAACTTTATTACCCTTAATTCTATGGTGGAGGTCATAAAAAGAAATCAGTTGATTTGTCAAAACAAAACAATTCCTTTGCCACGAAAAGAATCATGGCATTCCCGAACAGAAGGAAAAGAAATTGAGCCAATGATCTCCAAAACAAAACACATCAATGTGTGTTTGCGAATTTCTAAATAAAAGTATTGAAGTTTTTAGAGGGTTTTCAATTTGAGATTTAATTCCCACTTTTCATTAATCTTTTGTCAGAAACAAAGTTGATGGATTAATGAATATTAAAAATGTATCTCTTCAACATGTTGTACAACATTCCAAAACCATGTTGTTAACAACATGTCTCTAGAACAAGTTTTCACCAATGTCGCAACACCCTTCGAACATATTGCACTACAGCATTTCAATCGAACATCATACAATATTCACAAACATTTAACTTAGGTTGATGTTGGAAAATCCACAGCAACATTGGGGCCAGAGTGACGACAACGATGACCAAGCAGAACTCCCGACCTGCCGACCGACCAAAACAAAACGAAGAAAACCACGAAGATAGAAAATAAACCAAAAAACACGGCTAACACACAAATCAAGGCAAAACAACAATGCGGCAATACCACCTTGTGTTGTCGTTCGTTGGCAGCATGTTTTAGTTGTTTAAATCTGATTGTGAGAATCGGTGAGTCGGCTCGCAATTTTTCTTCGTCGGAGGTTTTTTTTTGTCGGTCGGTCCATCGTTTGTTTAATTTTGTTCTGTTTGAGCGATGCAATTTTGCACAAAACAATAGAATAACAACAAAATTTCATGACGTTTTTACGAGTTAAGACGAATCGAAATAGAAACGAATGAAAAAAAAGAAAACTAACAAAAGCACAGAGGAAGTGAGAAAGAAATTTCCCAAGAGAAAATTTTCGGGGTAAACTAGGCTGCAAGCAATTGGATTGGGGGTGCATTGCAGCGTGAGAGTGATGTTGTTGATGTGATAGTTGTTGGATGCTGGCCACAACGGCTGGTGATGTTGCCGATGCTTGAAAACAGCAACGTATGACTGGCTTTTTCATTGATTGTGTGAGGAAAATTATTGTGTTTTTCATTGTTCTCGAAAGGGTCGTAAAATTGTGACATATATTTTGTGCTAAAAAAAGGAAATAAGAAAAAATAACCAAGAAAGGTAAAAAACAGAAAAAATAAAATAAAATTTTAAATAGTTTTAAAAATTCAATAATTCAATTCCAACCAAAAAAGTCATCAATTACGAATGACGTACAAGTAAACAGCAACAACAACATGAGTTTTGACACATTTATTAATATTTATGTCGGTATCAGTGCGGATGATGTTTATCTTTGATAAGAAATAAAAACAAAGGCAACGCCACGAGCAGTCAGACTAAATGCCCTTCTGCTCTATTTATTGAAAATAGGTAAAAACTGAACTTATTCCTCACCTCACCCTTCCCATCATCATAGAACCCTTACATTTACTTTTGTTTTCTTTTGTCCAAGAAAAATATTTTGTTTTTTATTTTGAATTGGTATCTAATTGGATTAATATTTATTTGTTGTTGTTGATATCTGTACTGTGACACCACACAAAAGTAGTCAATTAGTATTGGCAAATTTTTTTTTCGCAAGAATGAAAAACTTTGTGTTGAGCAAATGTTTGCAAAACGAAAAATGTTATATAATTTTAAATTAAATGAGGTTTTATTGTTATTTAAGCTATAATATTTGAAATATATTTGTTTATAGTTAACACAACAAAAAGTAAAAAAACTGTAAGTTCGACCGGCCCGAACTTTGAATACCCTCCACCATTTGGAACGAATTTGGCAATTCTCAAAAACAGTAAAATCCGTTAAAATCTTAGAAATACCGAATGTAGCCGTTATATTAGGGTCAATACGATGACATGGTCCTACATAGGTAATTTTTTTCATAAGCCATTACAATACTCAAATGCGAAACTTAGAAAAAAATCGGTGAATAAATTAGCTACAGTCATCAAAATACCGATTATCGTGAGGTACTGTTATACGGAGGCTATACGAAGGTGTGGACCTGCACAGATAATTTTCCGTCTTAGGATTTAGTATTTATTGCGAACTTCAAATACCAAATTTGACACAATTCCGGTGAATAATGTCGCTAAAATCATCAAAATACCGAATATCGGAAGGTACTTTTATATGGGGGCCATACAAAGACGTGGACCTTCACAGACAGTTTTCTGTCTTAGGCTATAGTATCCATTACGAACTTCAAATAGCAAATTCGAAACAATTCCGGTAAATAGTGTCGCTAAAATAATCAAAATACTGAATATCGGGAGGTACCGTTATGTGGGGGCTATATGATAACGGGGACCAACATGGCCCATTTACGAACTTAATCTGCCTACTGGCAAAATATACATGTGTACAGAGTTTTAGCCTTCTATCTCAATTCGTTCGAAAGATAGCGTGATTACAACAGACACAAATACATACAGACGGAAATGGCTAAATCGCCTTTGTTGGGTCTGACATGAGTATTTCGAGGAGTTACAAACGGAATGAGAAAATTAATATACCCTCCATAGTATGGTAGAGGGTATAAAAAAGAAGTTCACTCTTGGAGCTTAGGCGTGTGAAAAGACCGAGTTTTTGGAAATTCGTACTAATAGTTTGTACCCTTTGTACTTTGTATTAGACAAACGGAATGAGCTAGAATTCTGAAATTTGAAATGATAGCCACCGATAGAGTACAGGATAGTTTTTGGAAATTCGAAACCGATAGAGTACAGGATAGTTTTTGGAAATTCGTAGTTTAAGGTTAAGAAAATTTATAATATGGTACTAAACTTCTAAAATGGTACCATTCGGTATTATGTGAACGGGAAGAGCTAAAAACATGAAATTTTGGTATGAGAATAAAGGTTGGAAAGTTAGTTTGGTATATGAAGGTGGGCTTGGAAATGTATGCTAAGTGTGCGATCATAACGTACTTAACGTACTAAATTTGGAACAGTTTGATGAAGCTAGAAATTGAAAATTTTGTACTGGGGTCCATGTTGCTTGTAGGTTTGTGATAAACCATTGGTTTTGGAAATGTGCACAACAAGTGTACGAAAATTACTAAATAGTTCCATTGTTGGTACAATTTGGTATTGGGTGATCATATAGTGATTGAAATCTGAATTTCGTAATAAGGGTCGCTGTTCATGTGTAGCTTGGATATATAGAGGTGGTTTCGGAAATGTATACTATATTTGTACGAAAAGTATTGATGGGTACTAAATTTGGTATTGGGTGAAGGAATAGAGCTGAAATCCTGTTATTTGGTATTGGGGTCCCAGTTTTTGTGTATCCTGACATAAGGAGATGGGTTTGAAAATGGATAGTTTAATAGTACTTAATTGGGTATTGTGTGATATTTTGATATTGGGCTCTCTGTTGGCATCTGAGATTGTGATATGTATGTGCTACTCAAATGGGTATTGTGTGAAGGGATAGAGCTGGAATCCCATAATTTGATATTGAGCTCTCTGTTGGTATCTGAGATTAAGATATGTAGGTTGTTTGGGAATGTGTACTATAAGCGCACGAAAAGTACTAAATAGTACTATATTTGGTACAATTTGATATTGAGTGTACAGATTGTACTTTATATCCGAAAAACTTGTATTATGGTCGCTGTTTATGTGTAGACTGGACATATGGAGGTGGTTTCGGAAATGTAATATAAATAAATAAATTTAAATATAAGTAAATTACGCAATAGGTGAATCGTTTGAGCCGGAAGCCCGAAATTTAATATTGAAGTCTCAGTTGTTGTATCTGGTGTTGAGATATGAAGGTGGATTTAGAAATTAGTAGAATAATTGTTCAAAAAGTACTTAATAGTACTAAATGTGGTATGCGCACTACAATTGTACCAAATGATATGAAATTTGTTAATGGGGGAAATTAAAGAGCTAAAATCCTAAATTTTGATATTAAGGTCACTGTTGATAACTGAGGTTCAGATATGGAGATTGTTTTGGAAATTTGTACCATAATTGTTAGAAAAGTACTAAATGGTACTGAATTTGCCGTTGAGTGAATGTATATGGCTCAAATTCTAAAATTTGATATTGAGATATCCATAGGTATCTGGTGTTGAGATATGGTCTTGGAAATGAGCACTATAATTGTTAGTACTAAAGTACTAAATGATACTAATTTTGGATCACTTTTGGAGTCTGGGATGAAGAAATGTACATTGTTTTGGATATATGTACTAATTGTTATTAAATTTGGTGTTGGGTAAATGGATTGAGCTGAAATTCTAAAATTTGATATTTAGATCACTATTGGTTTCTAAGGTTTACATATGGTGGTGGCCAATTTTTTTATGAAAAGTCGTTAAAAAATGAACGTGGATCCATTGTGCAAAGGTTTTATTAATATCATCCACGGTAAACTATAAATGCATGGTTTTGAGAATATTTTTTGGGGTGAAAGGTTAATATTTTCTAAATATTTTTCCCGAAAAGAAATTAAATTCGTACTAAAAGATGCTAATATGTGCTAAAACTGTGTGGTTGGACTAACAATGTTTATTTTTTGGAGCAGGGATCTTCGTACTGCTTTTGCCACAAAAATCTTAACGCTTGGTGCAAAACAAAGTACTAAATACGGAAAAATAAATAAATACTCGACAGTTCTGAAAACTAAACTGAACGGGTAATGTGGTTCTTGAGCCAAAAATCCATATGTTTACGGTTAGAATCTTGATAGTTTGCATTATAGTGCTAAAATGAGATAAGGTGCAATTTCTTCAATTTAGTGAATATTTGAACTTCCGTACTTGAAGGGTAATTGAGAGGTCTTTAGGAGATGCTAATATGTGCTAAAACTGTGTGGTTGGACTAACAATGTTTATTTTTTGGAGCAGGGATCTTCGTACTGCTTTTGCCACAAAAATCTTAACGCTTGGTGCAAAACAAAGTACTAAATACGGAAAAATAAATAAATACTCGACAGTTCTGAAAACTAAACTGAACGGGTAATGTGGTTCTTGAGCCAAAAATCCATATGTTTACGGTTAGAATCTTGATAGTTTGCATTATAGTGCTAAAATGAGATAAGGTGCAATTTCTTCAATTTAGTGAATATTTGAACTTCCGTACTTGAAGGGTAATTGAGAGGTCTTTAGGAGCTACAATTTTCAAAATCAACTTTTAAAATTAGGAAAATTCATTGAAAGATCGATTAGAGCCATAGAATAAAATTTTGCCAGAGGGTCAACCTTGGTGAGGTGCGATTTACGAAAATTCGTACTTAATGCTGTGGAACAATATCAAAGTGTACGGCTAAAGCTAGCAGACACTTAGAAGTTTCAAAAAAAAACATTCTTAAAAAAATTTGTTTGTACTGCCAAGCAATGTCTCAAAAGTTCACAACTACAAATTTTTAGAAATGCAGGATATTTCTGAAATGTTTTTTCCCGATTTTTCTTGTGCCCGTGACTTGGAATCGAGTGAATAAATCTTGGTATGTGATATTTGAATGGTATTTCTATTGGAGCGAAGTCAAGACGAACCGAAAACAAAATTTCGAATCCATAATGATATATGTTGCAAATAAGATTTTATCATATCTCAATAATATACAGGGTGAGATAAAAAACTGCAACAAAGTCAAATGCCATAATTTTTACATTTTTTTTAAATTGTATTGAATGAAATCAAAAAATGTCGGAAATAGCACCAACTTTTAGAATAAGTTTAGGAAGGAGGAACATTATTTTGTAGCCATTCTTGGTTGGCGCGTGCTGAGTGCGATGGTGCTGAGTTCTGTTGGAATGTCAATGGTCTGCGGTAAAAATGTTTGCTTCCCAAGGCTTTAATACACCCTCCAGAATACTTTCGTGATAATATTCGGCATTTATTCTGATACCACGGTCGATCAATACGAGAGGAGAGCGATCATCGGCTATTATGGCGGCCCACACCATCACCATGGCCGGCGCTTGAGTTCTGGTGGCCAACCGAAAGTGCACATTTTCAACTGACATCTTTATCAAGTAAACAAGATAATTTTGTTTGTTTACAAACTGCTGGAAAACGAATGTTTTCTCATCGAAGAAAACCAAATTCGGCAGTTCATAACTTTCGGCCAAGCGAAGCAACTCCTTAGCTCTATTGAGTCTATTTTCTTTCTGTTGTGGTGTAAGTTCTTGAACTTTTTAGAATTTTAATGGCTTTACCCCGAGCTCATTTTTCAATATTTGCCAAATTGAATATTGCGATATGTTCAGCTCACGAGCCATTTTCGGCCACTGCGACGCAGGTTTCGATCAGGTCGCTTCTTTACTTTTCGAACCATTTCTGCTGATGTTGCTGTCCTTCACGTCGGGCTACGCTACCAGTATCACGGTAACGAACGATGGTACGAGACAC